ATAGGGGATGTTGTGGGTTGTGCTATTAAGGTGGATTATAATACCGAGGACCTCTTTAGGGCAAGTTCACTCACCTAGCTATTTTAGTTAACATGGATTCTCCCTTATTTTCTAAATTCTTGATTAATTGTACGTTGCAAGTGGTTGAGTATAAAAGCATTCCCGAGTTATGTTTTCACTGTGGTCGTGCTGGTCGCTGGAAAAAAACTCATGCTCTATTATATCATGACACAATTTAAAAATTGCATTTATAAACATGAAATTTATGATAATTACCTAGGGACACAGTGCCTTGGTTATATACTCCTTGCTACTAAACTTGGTATTATTGAAGCAAAGCTGAAATTAAGATGAAATTACTACTCGATTGAGGACAAAATAGTACATTAAGCCAACGGCCTAGGAAGCAAAGCATATTAAACGGTGCGTTTCAGGCGATTGAAAATTAAAATGAATGCAAACTAGAGCAGAAAATCGCAATCCCTATCCAACAATTCATCCAGGCGCAAATTGAATTACATATTTCAAACAAAATAAACGGATGCTTTGTCCTTCGAATGGCGTCTTCTTTACCATCATCTCTTTCAATGATCCTGAACCAACCACACCATTCTCTCAAAATCAAAACTCACACATTCCTCTCAAACAACCACACCATTCTCTCAAAATCAAAACTAGATGCTTCTTCTACAGCATCAGATTCCTCTCCTCCAACAATGCTCTAGCTTCCAATACGTGCTGCTATGGCCTTTTCCCCCAACGCACACTCAAAAGAAAGAGCTTTTCTCTCAATCTTTCTCGAAACTTTTCCCAATCTCAAAATTCTGCATTTAACAAGACAGATGGCCCTGGCCTTCACCATTTTGTCGCTTAGGCTTCTCTCTCTGCTTCGGAAACGCAGTCACAGCCCCAGTAAGTTCTTACTTGTATGCATATGTATGTTCATCGGATGTATCGTATTTAGGGTTTTGAACAACTTAAATTAATATGGGCTCTGTAAACTTTAGTGATTTTTGCTTGTGAATTCTGATAAAGCGTGTATTTTGTTGTGGAATCTCTTTTTTAGCATTTTAATGCTGCTGATAAAAGTTCGATGTTAATATTTTTTTGCTATTCATATTAAGTGTGCATTTGTTTTGTTTTTTTGGCTTTTGGGTGTTGAAATACTGCTTATTTTGACATGAAACTATTATATGTGTCTAATGTGTCGAATAATATTGCAGATCAATGCAGTAGTTGTTGCATTATGTTGGCGTCCATCTGTTGCCATATCTTAGCTCAATATTCGTTTAGATTAAAATTTGTGTTAATTATGTTTGATTTATAAATTTTACTAGCATTACTAAATTTGATGTAGACATAACAATTCCGCCTGAATTGTTCTACCTTTAAAAAAAAAAAAAAAAAAAAATACATGTCTAATCTTTATCATCCTCATCCTCGTATTGACTGATACAAGATCCTGGACTAGATTCTTGGTCTTCTTCTCCTTTCTTTGTTGCTCCTCTCTCAATCTTTACAAGAGCAAAGTGAAGTCAATTTTCAACTCTAAAAGGCCATACTTGAATTAAATCCTCTTGATGGAGTCCATTCTTTTTCTTAAAAGAATTCCAATGAGTTCTAAACACATAAGATGAAGTTGTATTCCCATTTTGCTTTGGATAATCCCATTGCTTGAGTATCAATATCACTACATCAAGGCAACGGCTCAATAATCTCACTTTTAAATTTTTTTTTTTTAATCTATCCCTTTCAATTTCGTTCAAAAACTCACATAAAATTTGATTCTTTGCATTGAAAAGACTGTTACATCTCCTGCATCAGTTTTGTTATCTTTTCTCTTTAGTATTCCATCACTGCCTTTCATTCATCTCTATAATCTTTTTCTTTGCAATCTTTGAGGTGTTCAGATTGTGAAATTGTGAATTCTTTATTGTAACTTTCCTTTTCTTGCTTTCAGTTTTAGTTTCTCTTTCTCCTTCTCCTTCTTTTTTCTTTTGATGAGCTCCTTCAAAGTTTCTTGGTCTCTTGAAATCTGTACTGAAACCTTTTTCTTTTGCTGGAAAATCTGCTACCCTCTTTAAAGATTTTTCTTTAATCAACCTTTGAAGCTTTTCCTCTTTCTCCAATTTAATAAAAGCAACATGTGTA